GGGGTATTTCGCCACCCACCGTTTGCTGGGGGGGGGGGGGGCGTTAAACGCCCCCAGCCGATAACTCGAGAACCAATAGGCGCAGCGAAACGCACGAGGCGGCAAACGAAAGAGCGCGCCGAGACGCTTCAGATGAGTACTTAAAAGTTGAATTTTGAGGTCACAGGTCAGGTCAAGGTCAGGTCAAACACCGGAAATCGGGCTTTCAGTAGCATGGACTTCAGGACTTCGCAATGGGCGCCTCTCGTCATAAACTCTGTCAAAACGGTGCACAATCCATCATATAAGGCTTACAAGAGTGTCAGCTCCATGTAGGGGTCAGTCAAGCATAGGTCAGGGTCAAGGTCAGGTCAACCGGGTAGGCACATATCCCCGAAAATCAGAACTGATATTCGCACCCTGTGACACATGTTCTATAGGTAATTTGGAGCGTAGAACACGATGGTGACATTATTTTTCTCATATGTTTACGAGTTTGGCTCAAAAAGTTCAATTTAAGAAATTCATGTACCTATCATGGTCGTGAAGTAGTCACGAGAAATTGCCAAGATTCAGTTCAAGATTTTGGAAAATGCGGAACAATAATCAATAATCGAAGATAGCCATTAGATTGCTCATGGTATTGGCAGTCTAATGGCGTTTACGGCATGTCTGTATATCTATTTTGTGATTTTATATGATTTTTGAACATATGCCGTTTTTTGTCGAAAACTCAGAAATCATGACGTCACTAAAACCTCGATATCTCAAAAATTTTCCGACCGATTTTTTTGAAACTTTGTCACAATAAACTTCAATCAATTCCCTACAGGCACCCAAGATTTGGCGCGCCTGCGGCGCACCGTTTTTATGCTATGACCCGGCGAAAAAAAGTGGGGGCGTTTAACGCCCCCCCCCCAGCAATTCGCGTGTTAAGGGGGGGGGGGGGCACTGCCGACTTTTAATCCCATTCTTTCCATGCAACGCCCATTGGGCTAATGTTAAAATGTCAAAATCAAAGGGGGCACGGTATCCCGGTGCCCTCTCCGTTGCGCCGCCTATGGGCATGAAAAATAAACTGACAGAACCTACACATCCATCATCAGGTTTCAATCATGCCCACAAGCAACTGGCCTCTTTTGACCTAAATGACCTCTGGCTATTGGCCCATTTCAAGTCTAAGAAATTCATATTTCAGATTGCATTCATGTCAGCTTGTGCTTGCATGCGATTCTGTCTGCCTTCAGCACAGCAAAAAAAAAAGTAGTAAAATCATTACTAAAGCTAAGATAAGAGAAAACCCTACAACAGGATATCATCAAATCAAGATTAAATGGACACAATCAGGCCTAACTCTAAATGCAGCAATGGTATGCAATGCATACTGCATAGCCATAGATGTAATATATACCTGGCAGTCTATCTGGCATAGACCATTATCAAGGACCAAACCAGTGCACTACCTACTTTGTTTGATAATGTGTCATGAACAGTCAGCACACCAAATGTGAGGGTGCCACCAGTAGACAGGATATGCATTATGCACATTGAAACATAAATTATCTACACATCTACACTGAAAGTAAAAGCATTTAATTTCTAAACTTTCAACTAGTGGCAATGCACACTTTATCATACTTTAACCTTGAAAACCATGGAACACAAGTATTTAAACTATCATTACTGAAGAAGAAAGGATGGTGTAGCACATGAGCAAAACATGACCAACCAGGAGCAAAAATCTATCTAGAACCTAGTTTAGCAAGTTAGGTATTCATTTGGCTAGGAAAGTTGTTAAAAAAGAAACTGGAGCAAAATAGCTAAAAACAATGTTTATTGAATAAAAAATCCAGAGATTATCATTAAATTTGAATGCTTCTTCGAGATAATATCTGAAATTAGTTGTGTAAGCATTTAACATAGGTAACATCAAAACGATTCCCTAACAACCCAATGCCTAAGTGTACACAGGTTTGGTCAGTCAATTTGGCAGTCAATCAGCCAGAGTACTTTGGCACACACTATCCTTTTACGTCACTACTTTAGGTGCTAACTATATCACTATATCACTTAGGTACCATTGTTGGTATTAAATGAGATGGTTTTCAATGGAATATCACTTTTAAATTAGGTAATGGCATACACAATTCAAAAAAAAATCATTTATCAGCCACATAAACATGAATGGAGTGCTAAAGATATTACAGATGATCAATGATTCAACATAGTACAACTATGCCCACTTCTTTTTAAAGTTCTCACTTTCAAAAGTGGTTTAACTCCAAGTTCATCAGCAAAGCTATCATGCTATGAGTTACCACCCCTGAAGCTGATCCAGGAGACCCTAAATCCCAAAACATTCACACTAGCTAGTCCTGGATTTCAGCTCAGTAAAGGTATGGAATCTGAGACTGATATAATTCTAGTCCAATGATGAGGTCACTGGGAAAACTAGAACCCATTTTATCTAATATGACAAAATGTCAACAAACCTTTGAAACACAATATTTTGCTATCACAATGTTTTTAAGCATCAGTAGAAAGACAATCCTTATAATTAAAAATGACTTAGGATATTAGATGGTTGATTCTGATAACTGATTCCTGCACTTTCATCTTCTTAAAATTGCATTTGCACTCTCATAGGTAATAGGTTGCTTACTTGTTCTTGCAAGGATATTTTCACATTCCTATCATACATGGGATTCATTAAGCTCTCATATAAAGAGGCAAAAACATCCAACCAGGTCAAACCAAGATATGACAAAAACCTAGCAGAAAGACAAGATTGGCCCAAGTGAATTGAAGCTGACACGGAAGAACGTGTGATTTAATAAAGAAGTAGGCTACAACACCGACCATAATGTCTTCTTCTAGAACCCAAACAGCCTTATTTTCAATTCTTGTTAAGTATTGAGCTCAGGTTTGAGATGTGTGAAATCACAGTCGTCTTTGTTTCAGCTAGCATGTGTGTAAGATATCACTAATCCAGTATAATAGGAATATGAATGCAGTGAAAAGTCTTCACTCTGAAGGAATGCCATCACATGACATAGGTAGCTCTGAAATGTTTCCCAGGACCTACACACAAAAACTGAGCCACAAGTTAAACTAAAAGAATTAATGTATGGATAAGATAAGCAATGATAACAAAAATGCTTGAGAATCATAGCACCCATAGCACTTTTCCCGTATCAAATGTGTAGATAACAACACGCACTATACCCGGGTACCTACTCAATCAAGTTTGAGTTTTCTCCTCTAATGTCAAGGTAGAGAAAAGGAAGCACCTATCAGGAGTCAGAAGTAAAATGGCATGAAATTATGCTTAAGTCGAACAAAATATGGGAACTAATTGATGCCTCACTGATTCATATATAAATTACGGTTTTAACAATTTAACTTAGTCGCGGATCATTCATAAAAAGTAAGTGTTTACTTAGGCACTGCAAATACTACTCCCACAAAAATTATCACTATGGGCTAAAATTAAGTAATTTAATACCAGTCACAATATCAACTATCGTTTTCTAGACACGTAGGTAGGTATGTAGGCAAATTGACAAAATGCAGCATTCAAGTGCAGGTTGAGACGAAAGTGGCGCAGGATCGAATTGATGAACATATCCAACGTTAACTTATCGCTAGAACAAACCAGGTTACAGCTGATTCTGAGCAGCATAATAGTGAACAAAATTAAAGTAAAGCATTGTAAAACATGAAAAAGCAAAGATACACACGCAAACATCCATGGAAGACCGTCAACCCGGGATAAGCCGACCCTCGCAACAGATCAACGAATATCACAGAGTACTTACGATTTGTGGCCCCGCGGGGAAACACAACGTCCCTTTACATATAAATGCGTCTTCAAACCATCAGTATCTATAAAATGTCGTCCAATTAATAAGCAAAAAACAACGAAAACACCGGAGAAGGGCGCGGTTTGTTTGTTTCGCACAAGCTTCATGAAGGTCCCGTATGTTGGCAGACAGCTGACTTTAGTACGGTAAACCTCTTTCTCTAAAATATTTGACTAAATTGCGGCCACCAATTTATTGCTTGCAATTCTCACGCAATGCATGACCAAACGAGAGAGCACATGAATCCTTTTTGCTTCAAATTCTGAGAAATTCAATCGAAAAATGGAAACGTGGTACACAAAAATGTGTATTCTCTGTTGCTCATCAACAACATCCCGAAGACAGGCCCAACATCCCATGATGGGCTTTGCTGGGGCGCAAATGCTGCAATATTTTTTTTTTACATTTCACGACTACTGGATATCTCTCTTGTAATCATGCATTTTATGCACTGTGGCATAATATTCCCCATTTTTTAAAACACTGGCTTCAGAGTCAGCTAAGGCTTTTTACAGCGTCAGCCGTCACCACACCATTGACGACAATGCAGTCCCTAGATGTCGCTAGTAGTAGTACGCCTGAATGTATGCTGTTCCGCATGGCTCAAGGCTATATAATATAGCGTTGCAGTTGCAGGCTCATAGAGATAGTTCCTAGGGCCTAGGCTATGTGTGAGTAATTTGAATCTGCTATTTTCATTTATAGATTTATATAAAAGCATTGGTGGACGTCAATATAATGCATCACCAGGTGATCAGAATAGCTGCAACAAAAACTACACTTCGTCGAATGATGACCGTTCCGTCGTTTCCACCCTAAGGACATTCAATTAATCCTCTTCCTCTACGCTTCATTCAACCCCCTGATCAGGGCTGGACAGCAACTTTATCCACTGCAGGAATGCCCGTGAGAGCGCGCCCGTAGCCGGGTGCGGTGAGTGTTTGGGAAGCGGGTCGGCCAGTGTCCTCTGGACAGGCTCAGCCCCGGCGACTCACCGGGGTGCTTGCCCAGAGCAATGTCTCTCCCTAATTCCTATCATCCTTCCGGCCCTGAAATGGTATCGTCAGACCGAAAGGACCAAACAAAAAAAAATCATCCAATCAATATCATCCGACCGGTTCTCATCAGTGCAGGGCCATCCAAGCGAAAAAGCTCATCAACTGGAAACACGTCGTTACTGTATTGTATCATAAATATACACATGGGTTATTTCGTCAGCACATACAGATCATGCTCGCACATTAAAATAAATACAGGTAATCCGAATAGCCATCTCGCCGCTGTGTGATAACGTGACAGCCCAGCTGCTAAAACGGACACGTTTGTCACAGTGTCACGCAGTGTGGTGCAGTTCCACTTCGATGCACACATCAACACGCCGGGTAAGCGCTGAATCGCTATCAGCGGCTACTTTTGGGGACGCTCTGTCCATCAGTTTGTGACATGATTCCACGGTGACGATTTTGAAAGGTCACCGTTCTAAGGAACACACGTCTGGTGCGAAAACATTCAGCGCGCTGTGACCTACTCCGAGATCAACCCTGCCCGGGTCGGATCGGTGCTGGTAGACACGATGAACACTGAACGCGCGGCGGGAATATCGAGCCGACACCGAGCCCTATCACGAGCACAACACGGTCGGCAGCGGCCTCCAGCAACAAACGGCCCGCACGTCACGACCACAAGGCGCGGCGTCATCAAATCGCGCGCATACGCTAAGTCCGGACAAGTCACAGCAAACACGTACAGAAACCATGTCCACTCAGTATGTCCCACAATAACCACGTTGAGCCCCTCCTTTCACCGACCCCAAAAACCGCAAGTCTAGGCGCTGCGGAGCTCAATCACAAGCTCGCCGCCTGGTGGCGCCGTCCAAAGGTAGCAGTTTGACATTCTGTCCCTCAGGTGGCAGCACTGCCGAGCTGACGACGCGGTTGTACTCGCGGGGTTGACTAGCGGCCCGTTGCCCCCGTGCGACCGGTTCAGTCCCGACTGCTGAGCTCCTCCAGGGGCCGCACCGTGCCTTCTCGGTGCACCTGTACCACGGCCTCGCACACAAACTCAAACTGACTCTGAAACAGACACGGGGAGAACATGGTCAGATATCGTACTTATCGGTTACGATTTTACCCAACCAACACGTCAATGGATGCCAATGGTAGAAATAAAAGAATGGGTTCACGCAAAAGAAATTGCCTTGCAATATTTCGGTAGTTTTATTAGAACTGAATAACTGCTTCAAATCAGTCCGTAATGAAGAGAATATACGGACGCAGAAGACGCAACCGCTTGCCGCCCCACCCTCGCGTTCCCGCTACTCACAGTGGTCTGAATCATCATGGCGCGCTGCCGCCGCATGGTGCGCACCAGCTCCAGCGGGTAGACGGGCTGGTTAGCCTCGATCAGGCACATAGCCGTCTCCATCAGTATGAGCACGCCCGTCCGGCCGATGCCGGCCGAGCAGTGGACCACGGTCGGCTCGACCAGGCCGGCCCGCGCCGAGCGCACCCGCTGCACGAACTGGACAAAGTCGGCCGGCTGCTCGGGCACGCCGTGGTCCGGCCACGAGACGTACTGCATGTGAGAGATGTGACGCTCCTCGCCCGTCTGTGGGGAGAGGGAGGGTGGGAGGTTAGGGGAGAGCGGTGGAGGCGAGCAGCGAGAGCTAAAGGTGACAAAATGAATAGAGTGGTCAGAAATTAAGCTGTTGGCAAAAAGACGTCCTTTTAGATCCGGTCGAGTCACATTTGGTAGGAAATAGACGACGACAGGCAGAATAAGCTAGCATTCTGGCATGAAACGCTAAATAGTACTTAAAGTTTTACCGTAATACGAACACTTCTTAGCTCAAAAACACAAATGGCACACACCTCCTGGGAGGTGATGGTGATCTCTCGGAAGGCGAAGTTCTCCGTGACCTCCTCTGATGCGGTGGTGACCTCAAAGTCGCCGAACAGCATGCTCTGACCCTCGTCGGGCCAGTACTGGTGGCACTTGACGCGGCCCTGTTCCACCAGGGTGGTGAGCATCACCACCAGGGGGCACTTCTGCTCCCAGATCATCGCCCAAAAGTCGTCCGTGGTGTGGTGCAGCGGACCTGTGGACGAGAAGGTGTAGAACGTCAGAGGAGAGACAGAAAGAGCGATGATGCGTTATGAGCTAGGAAAGCAGTGAAGTAAGCACCCAAGAGTATATGCCGTTTTCCTTGTGAAGCTACCCAAATGGGTCTAACACAGATGGCGCAGGCTACGGGACCTGGCACTGGAGTCACCAGAGAGGGCGCTTCGGCTCGTATTTTGCATATCCTGACACACTGACAACAGGAAGTACGCCGATCACCTTTCAACTCCTGACATTGCCGCTTCCTTCCGGCTGACCCGTAAGTCACCTACGTAAGCATGACGTCAAATATGGATAATGTGACGTCAAATTTTAGCATGACTAGCAGGAAGTGCGGTATATCACAGCCGGCTCTCTGTCGCTATACGATCGCTCGGCGAAGCGACTCGCTGCCTGGCTTTCCAAGTAGAGCTAGCTCATCTGCATTTACATCATGTCTGACCAAAACCGGCCCCGGATGATCGCCGGTAGCCGACCTCGCGCTCCCGTCTCTGTGCACACTGTCCACGGATCGCGCATAGATCGTGCACCGTCGTGCACGGGCCGTGTGCACGGCGCTCCGTGCACGCCGCGATGGCCGGCGTGGCGGACCCTGTGAACTGGTGGATCCACTGCGCAGTCCAAACGGGTTCCTCCGTAAAGATCTGCATCGGTAATGCTATCGCCGATGGACTAAGTCGTGTAGCTCGCTGTCGGCCCGGCCATGGCGCCGGCCATCCATTCGTCAGAAGTTGAGTGTGTTTTATTGCTCGAAGACGATTTATGCCCACCGGAACTGGCTCCAATGGAGCCGGAGCCGGACTCACGAGCCGCAGCCACCATCTGGCATACGAGTGTTCACCTTTCGGTGGTTGACGCTAAGCGCTTTGACGATCGTAAAGAAACAAGCAGGGGCTGGATTGAGCATTCGTAAAAACTGCGCAATGACGGGCGTAGATTTAATACAGCTACTGACTGACAAAGCTTGAACACACCCACGATTACACACTAGCACTTGCCCGGTTACGTGGTCGTTCCGAGAAGTTCTGCCGGGCGTCGGCAGTCTGTTTACAACGCCTAAATACGCTCTAATAAGGTGCGCTTCGGGATATATAAAGGGCGCCAAAGAAAAGTGCGATCACGCTATCCTCATTTTTGACACAGCTATGCCGCAAGAACAAAGTAAATATATCGACACACGATATTCGGTGCGCCTTCCTAGCCCGCCTTTATTTCCCTTTCAGCCTTAGCGCCACATGTCTCACGATTCCTGTTCAAAGCCAAACTCGCTATAAGGAATTCAAACCTCCGTCACTCAATCCCGTACAAACAGAGACACATACCTTGGGCGGCGATGTAGCGGTTGACGATGCCGGAGCCGGGAATCTCCATGTTCACACAGTTGGCGTTGATGTAGTCTCCCGACTCGGCAGTTGTCAGCACCACCCGACTGCAGTCGTCTGTGGAGAAGAGGGAGAGGATGTGGTCAGTCTTCCCGTCTATACCCATTTGATATAACTTGATCAACTTAATCCAACGATCACTCTCGTGTGTCTATGTAAAACGAACGGGTTAATGTCCTGTGGCGTTCCATCACAAAAAGCGAGTCTAAAACCTGGAGTTGCGATCAGTCGATCCGTATCAACCGTGGGTAAGGCAAAAGCGCCATGGGAGCTGCGGGGAGTGGGGAGGGTGCACCACATCCTCAGGACGTTCGCCCGGGTGGGGCCGCGCCCTCGCCCTCTGCTATTTTCATCCACCGCGCCGTCTGAATCACCGTCCGCCGCGGCCCAGCGGAAACACCACTCCTGCAGGACTCAACGGTGCCGCCGACAGAATCGCGGAAAAGTGCAGACAGACAGCGGCGATCGGGCGTGTTCCAGTTACAGCGCGTCAATCGCTGACGTGGCTGATCGACGCGTGACGTCACTTCCCCATCCACTCCCACTTCCCCCTCCGCTCCCCCGGCCGACCGGAAGTGGGCAACTGACACACGCATAGCAAACGGTCCGGATGTCATTCATTTCCGCATTGTCGGCAGCCGACAGAGCTGCTGCGCGGCGGCAGCGCCGATGAACATGTCCGTCACCCCGCCGCCCCGACACGACCCCCTTCTACGCTCTAATTCATGCCCCCTCCCCCCCTCCCCAGCCGCTTCCGCCTCAGGCGTGCGGCACGTGGCGCTGACAGGGGCCGTCACTTATATCGTGTAGTCCAGCTGGGCACTAGACAGGGATGGCGGAACTGACCTCACGCCACGCGTCTCTCTCGTCCAGTTCCGGCTACTTGCGAGAGGTACCGCCAAGTCCCTGGCGGATCCCAGGCCCCGCCAGACCCCAGCAGGCCCCGTCGGGTCCCGCCAGGCCTCATCTGCCCTCGTGGCTCGTGCCAGACTTCTCCAGAGCCGGGAGGTGACGATAACCAGACACGAGCAACAGGGCCGCGCACTGACGCCCCACCAATCGTCCGACAGGCCAGTGTTGCGCATCTGCACAGAGGTCTGGCCACAGTTCCGAGTTGAATTATTTCCCCATGTTGTTGATGTAACTAAAAACGGCGAAAACACACAGCACTCTCAATATAAAGTGAGCCGGGTAAAATTGTTTTCCTCGATTTACAAGCTAAGTTGACATTCACTTGTCTCTTTTTGAAATAAAATACTTGTTTACCGACCACTCTGTTCAACGTGAATTGAGGACTGGTAAGCATAAATAAACGGTGTCGCATTGAATTTAATTAGCGAACCCGTGTACGATTTCGCAACCTAACGCTAGGTAACGCAAATTGAATCTTTTTCCTCTGCCGAGAATACATCTTGCAGCAGGACGTAATCAGTGATCTACAGCCCACACAAGCCGACATACGGCCACGCCAGCCACAGAGCCACATAACTTCCCACCGCCTCAGTAATAAAACACCGGCCGCACGGCGCCGGACGACGTCGCAAGTCCACCGTGTTACATCAGGAGCGTGCGCAGGACGTTCTACGCACCTCACTGCGGCGTCTAACTCGGTCCGCGGGGACCGGACATGTGCCGTTTCCGGCGGAACTAATCACTTGGCTGCCGGGGCCCGGTGGGCGCTGGTGACACCGGAAATGATCCACTATCCCCTGGAGATGGCGACCGCTGACGACGCGTCATTGGCGGTGTGTGAGGGAGCGACGGTGACAAACGACAGTCGCGGCTGATGGAGCAGCCGGCCGGTTTTAGAATCTCACAGGGCAGTGGGTTTGTTTTCCATTGCAAAGTGCTTGGCTTCCGGTTGACAGGGTTGAAGCATTGTTCCGAACAATAGCAGATAGTTGATTGCTTGTATGCATTTGCATGGCATGCGAAATGCTTGGAAGTAAAATGACAATTGTTGGGTTTGACCTGCAACGTAGTGTACGAATACCGTCCAAAATAAACTGTATAAGCTAAATATCGATCATCATGCATTCAACTATTACTTGGGTGACCTCATTTCATGCATTCACTGACAACAGTGCTAGCCAAAAGAATCGTGTTGGCATCCAATTCCAGAAACGAATCAACAAATGCAAATACGTGAAGGATAAATCTAGACATCTGTTTCAAGAGCTACTTTGGGCTGCCTTCGCTCCGTACAGGTGGTTCCCAGAACCGATTGTATACTGTTAAGTCATGCTTACGACGGGGCATTCTCCACTCACAATATTGGATGCAAATGAATTCCTCATGAGCGGTTGGCGTCCTTCAGCATTAAAATTCACGGCATCGCTCTGCTCTCGACCATTCGACAATCGCTTACATACCTTGACGGCATGAGTGAAATAGGTATCATTTGCACTCTTAGGGCTAGCGATACCGCAAGTTCGTTTTCTCTCTCGAACGGTGGTCTAGTGTGCGCTAATTCCCAAACTCCGGTTACACCGCGATCTCTCGGCAGTGAGCTGGACTGGAATGCCAAGCTCGAATTCCGGACGGGGATTCCGGGCCGCACGCTCATCAGTTCCGGCGCCGCACATTCCGGGTGTGGGCTGCGCGACGCACGCTCGATCCTGGCCCGATTGAATCATAACGGCAATGTAACGGTTCTCGCAGGCAGGACAGAGAACAGCAGCACTGCTAGTGAATGTCCCAACCACAGGCAAGGCCATGACGGCTGAGTTACCTGATGTTGACGTGTTCGCTCCAGATAATTCTAACCGCAAAATAATACTTTAATTGAAGTAACCACATGAATCAGTGAATGACACTGGTCCTCAGCAGCATTTCATCATTCACTTTGTTTCGATGAATGCAACAAACCGGTATTGACATCATGCTTATGTTTCGCACCTTCCCGCCACTCTTTCTCATTCTCCCATTCGTTCCCGCCCCTCCCTCATCCACCCAGAGGTATGTACTCACATGGTGAAATGTCCCTGTAGCGGTTCTTGGCGATGTTTGAGGGCAGCCGACAATCGTCCATGGTAAGACTCAGCTCCCGTCGGGCCAGGCCGTCAAACTCCAGCTGAGCCATACCTCGGGACAGCGCTGAAACAGACGAGCGGCACAGTGTTATAGTCGGCATTACCGAGAAAAACGGCAATTATTCGGTAATAAACATGGCAGACATGCAACGTATTGAAATTATCTATATCAGGACAACAAAGGAAGAGAAAGATGTACGATAACTATGATCAGAGAGACAATATCACTCCAGAAATACGGCGACGGCTGAAAAAGACGAGAGACCCACCAGTTCTTTGACAAGAAATGGCAAGAATATCCCATCGGTCACAAATATAGCAAGTAATAAGGAGGCAGCTTGTCGCCTCGTATCCGGCATCCCAGCGGGCGCTGAATGACACAGAAATCTATTTTCGGCTCACGAGCCACTAGAGGAGGTAGGGGAGAGTGGGGTAATTTGGCCGCTTTTTTTTAGAAAACGATGTAACTAAAAATCGACAACACATTTCTGCATTTTCTTAACGCTGACAGGTGTGGCATACATTTTACTTTCCTGGACAGTAAACTTGAAATGATAGGGTAACTACTTATATTGAAATTGTGACGTATTACAAAGGTCTGCAAAGCGGCCAAATTGCCCCACTAGCAGGGTTATTTGGCCGGGGGTGTGGGGCAATTTGGCCGGTGTTAGTTTGAGGCCATGATTTTTGTTATCGGCGAGTCAGCTTCACATTCAGCAATGACGCGTGTCCTACGACGCATTTGAAGCATTTTGGAGGTTGACTCAGCCGTCACAGGGGTCGAAAATAGTCAAAATAGCGGCTCTAGATGCGATGACAGTTTTTTTATGAATAGCTTTTGAAGTAATCAAGCTAGGCCAAAACTGAAAGTACCATCGTAATTCTCTCGTCATTCCGCATCGAAACATGTATGTGTTGAACTCGAGAGGTCAAGGTCAAAGATTGGCTTCAGGTCACGTTACCTCAGGTCGCTTGACCTCAAGGTTACGTGAGTTCAAGGTCATCATGCATATCATTCGATGCGCCTTGACGAGCTGAACACAATGAGACCATTTGCGCGGTTGTATCTTTTTTCTGTAAGCATTTATTAGCAAAAAAGCGTTAGGTAACCGTTGATGACGTCACATGCCCTTACAGCTGTCCAATAGGAAATATGGCATCAAGGTAGTCAAAGTTGGTCATGAATTATGTCCTTTATGGTATAATTGACCATGACAACTCGGCCGTCCCAGCATAGTGACTCTGAGCGCACCGGCCAAGTTGCCCCGCTAGTCCCGGCCAAATAACCCCACATTGCCATTCTGAAAATTTTTGTCTATAAAGTCGTCATGGCTGTACAGAACTAGATGAAATTGCTCTTGGAACCGCTGAACACCCTCAAGAATGGGGCTATAATGTTGGAATTCGTTTACAGCCCAACTACTACATGTTATACAAATTTTTAAACGGAAGTAAAAGTTACCATTTTCTAACGAAATTCACGTTTTATTAATTTTGAATAAAACTAAGAGGGGGAAAGTTTTGACATTTGTTCTCGAGTTAGTTCTGCCGATGACAAATGAATAGAGACTAAAGTTATTTCATTCACTTTTATCAGCTTTCGTACAGGTGGGGGCGGCCAATTTACACCACCGGCCAAATTACCCCACTCTCCCCTATATTTATCAATGGCAGCGAGAGAACAATTGCCGATCGCATCCGACCTCTGCGACACGAGACGCGAGACAAAGTTGTCACAAAAAGAATCGGCGGAAGCGTGGTATACCTACATAGACCGTGCGGCGTGCGGTTCGGTCGTCGGACAGAAAACGCATAGAGGCTGGTGGTATTGGCCTATTGGGGTTGACGGAACGGTATCTAATGTTACAGCACAGTTCAATGGGAAATGAGTAAAAATATACCGGAACAGGACAAAAATTTGGTAGGTTCTACCTAATAGCAAGCATCAAACAGGGTTGAAAGTGAAGCTGTATTGACGGAGGTAATGCAACCTACATTACAAAAACCAGATTACAGGATTTATTTATGGATGAGCTCCGAGCTCGTGGGTCGTACGGACCAGGAGTCATATATCAGCACATACAAGCCAGAAAAGGAATGCCCGGAAGGCGTGGGTTCGATGCTCACCGTGCGCCAGCTCGGCGATGGAGCGGGCGAGCGGGGTGGCATCAGCCGTCAGCGTGAGCGTGGCCGCCGTGCTGTCCGATCCCGACAGCGACAGCGGGGTGGTGTCCGGCACGAAACGCACCAGAGGCTCCTCCAGGTCGTCATGGAGCTCGCAGTTCACTGCCGGGTCATACGGATGAGGTCAGCCGGGGCTGTCGGGTTTACTTTACAGCTATAAGCTTCATCGCGGAATGCAATGCTCTTATAGCACAGTGATGCAAGACATAAGGCGCTTTCAAGTGACCCCTTGGCGAGACGAAAGGCATGTCATGTGACATGACAGGCAGCATGACAACGTACTTCATCAGCGAGCGTTGGTGGGATTCTGGCAGAGATCCGGCACGTCAATGGTAGCTGGCGAAACGTTCGGCGCAAACATTGAAACATTCCACCCCACGCCACTGTGTTTGTCAAGTGTCGCCGGTGGCTCTCGAAATAGCCCACGTGATTATTTCCTGACGCGTTCCGCCGCCGCAAAAATCGATGTCTTTGGCAACTGTGCTAAGTTGCGCCGGAAGCGGCGGTTTATACAATAACAGGGCGCCGACTGAGGAAAGCCAGCTGGAGCGGTGGCTGGGGCCGCCGAGGCGTCCCACTCACGGTTGGGCTTGACGGTGAGCTCAAGCTCTGACTGGCGCTCGCGGCACGACTTGATGAAGCGCACCACCTCGCGGAGGGTGAAGGAGGAGACATCGACCCCGTTGATGAGCACCACCTGCAAAAGAGAGAAGGTCGGCGATGAGTCACAGGGCGTGACGGAGTGACGTGTAACGACACACTCGGGACGCACACTTGTGCCGCGTGACGCCGCGCCGCAGCAGATCGGCGTCGGCCTCGACAGGGACGGGTGGCCTCGCTGCTGAAAAGTGGCCGTAGGGCACAGAGCCAAGACAAACAGACAGGACGCGTCTGGTGGAAACTGGTCAAAGGCCACCGTGAGATGCTCCGGTGACTTCTCGAGTAATTAGGGGATATTTTGGGATGGTTTGCGGCTTTTTGAGTCACAAGGTGACTACTCAGGCTGGATGTGGATCTAAAACGGCAGAGGATACACAGTCGCCAAAAGTCATGGGTATCGTTTTTGTGTTATTACTTTTGCGTCAAGCTTGGAGCAAATGAATTAATTAGATCCCTTGCGGGGCTGCGTTTGTCAAATGTGACCTCTTGAAGTTAACCCCTAAACGGCATTTTCAGCGAGCCATGTCCAATGACTAAAACACACTGTCACCCTATCACATTACGTGACTCAGCTGGCATTCGCGGATCATCCGCCCAAAATAAATCTGCAAGTAACCCCGCCGACGTGTCTGAGGTCCCAGGACCGGCTCTGTGGACCGATTCAGGTCGAGGCTGGTCGGCAGCTGTCTCCGGCTCGGCCACGACACGGCAATGGCATGAACACCCGTCACCGCTCCGTCAACCCCTACAAATAACTGTCACCTGAAGGTGGCCTTTGGCACCGGCTCAAATCGCCCCAGGTTATTGGGTCAGGACACAGAGTCCGAGACTGCCTAGTAACCGCCTAGCAACGGACTTATACCGCGAAACAAACGGACTCGAGCGAAACAAAACTGCTCCAGTTCGGGATAAAAGGTGAGCAACAGCGTTCGGCTACCGGTCACTGACTGCCTAAGTGGCGGCTATAAAAACGACATAATGCGCGCTTTATTTATCTTCTGGGAGCTTACATCCAGGGATCTCCGACCAAACGGCAGGTCTAATGGAGCGAACAGTGATCCGGGACCTGTCTCTGTCAGCGCTACAGTGACACACCTGCACCGCGCAGATCTCTGCCCGTCCATCGGCTATAGGATTAGCTTTTCTCCCATGCTATTTTTCACCAGAGCATTATAACGCACAGGTCGGACATGTGACTTCAACAGTGATCACGCGTTACCATGTGGCTTCGACATGGCAACGAGTGATCACTGCGCCGTTTGTGGTCGATATGGGCGCCGCAGCGGCCTGCGGGGAACGCCGGGGCCGTTTGCAGTGTCCGGACACGTCATATTGGCGCAGCTGAGCGGAAACACTGTACCGACCGACCCGCATGTGCAGGCGGGGCCGCGGGAGGGGGCCGCCGCCGCTTCATTACCCTACACAGCTGTGGTGGGTGCCGACCGGAAGGGGTGTCCCCCTGACCGGAAGCGCTGTCCCCTGACCGGAAGTGTCCGTGTTGCCGGATGGGCCGGGGAGTGGGCGGGTCAGCTGCCAGCAGTCTGACAGAGCTGTCCCCCCTCCCCGTTCCGCCCATCACCGGTCAGTCAGCCGCCCAGCCCACGACTGGCGCAGGTGTGACATTTCTGATTTCAAAAGTGAGTGGTGCGCGGGCGTCTATGCCGGATGGGATCCGTTGGCGTACAACCCGCAGACTACACAAGGACATCGGTCGGCCTGGAGCCCGCTCGCTGTCCTTTGCGGCCACGCAAAGGGCAAACATGAGGTTTACAACTATTTCCAGGAACCGTACCGCCCGTATGATGTGGCGGCCTTATAAGCGGAAGAGGCGAGGCTACATGCACGGCGCGTTTATCAGGGCCGGTGTACATGATAATTAGCGCAAACCTACATCACCGCCGCCTTATATGGATACCAGCACGGTATGCCTCCCTGGAGATAGGCATGCCGCCCGACCCTCCGCCGCACTGGTCGAGGATACTATCGCACATGGTTCCAGACTTCACAGACCACAGAAATTTCATCAGTAACCAGAGATAACTACACACGTTATGGGGTTCCCAGATGCATGCAGGAAGCGATGGAAACGGACAGTTGGTCTATAAACCCTGCGGCGAGATTGTTGGCCCTGCAGAGCTCTGTCCTCAGACAACAAAACATATGGTATGATCACGTGTTGTCGCGTATGACCACACCAGCGCGTGTTTGAAGATCACATTCGGTTTCGTAGAGGTCATAAGGTCACAGAGGTCAGGTCAGGCCAGGTGACGACACGGGGTGCGGCTCGCTGTGGGCGAGGCTGACCTTTGACCCTACTTCCTGTGGCTGGAGGCCGCGAGGCGTGGTGTGGACTTATTTCATAACGCTGAATCGGCGCATTCATACGGTTAATAAGAATTGAAACCACAGAATTTGATAGATTTTTTAATGATGCCCACTAATTTGTTGCGTGGGCATGTCGATTAAGGTGTTTAAACAGGAACAAAATATGTATTAAAAAGAAAACGATGCGGCCGTGTTACTAGTCGCATCAACACTTAAATGGGCGCATTGGTGCCGCCAGCCCGTCTTCTTTTGACACGAATTAGTTTCACAACAGGACGACTGTGCAATGCGAGGACGAGACCGCAATGAGAAGCAGGCCACACGTGGCGACGATAATAGCGATTACGATAACGATCCTAGAGCGATAACGTTTGAGTTATCACCGGCTCATCCGTCACGCAAAATATGCCATGCGAAACGTGCCGCCGCGGCCGACGATCGTGTTGTATGATCCGCACCAAAACGCATATCGCAGATTTTCATCGCCCCACCTGTTATCATGTCTGCCTGGACCGTGACAACTGACCGAGTTGTTTTCCGAAGCAGCCCCGGAACACACCGTTTGAATGGAGAGCCGCCGACCGGGCGATGGAGATTCCAGGGCCGATTGGCCGCTAACACACCCTCCTATAGTAATGGCCGCTGTTCGGCAGGACTGTTCACAAGCGGAACAATCACCGAGACTGGGTGGGATTCTCAGTAGACGAGGAAAAGTACCATACCGGTAGCTCGTAAACAACCTTAGGGGTGGACGCAGCATTATATAGGAAGTGGATTGCTATTGGACATAAAGAAGCATCAAGGTAAAAAGTTTATTTATTTGAGAAATGGATGAGGAAGCGACTGGTATCACTTCTAAGAATTTAGCAATGTCAACCATCTTGTGTTTTCCACTAAAGGTCACAACGACCTTTCATCTTCTTCATCCAAAGCAGCTCTAGGTGATCAGACCAGACCGCCCCGGTTGGCCGGAACTGTCCTCCTCAGACTGGTTACCCGATCAGAGCTCGTTCCGGGGATTTATCTCGTGTAAACTGTTTCCGGTCGACCATCTGGGCCTGTTGAGTATTCAGCGTCTCTGCCCGGCGCGCAGGTGCGACCTGCTTTGGGCAGCGCCTGCGAGCCGGTGCGGGACCTCTCCCCGGCCGCACCTCAGAGGTCTGGGCCCGGGCCGCTCCTCAGCTATACGGAACGCCTCGCTCCCGGGGCGCATCCCAGATCACATCCTGGTTATCATCCGTCCAGACGAGCCGTCTCCTTCAGCTCCGCGCACAATGACGATAACATCATCACACCTGGATCCAGCTTCCCAACAGGTGTCGAAACTTAGTTAAGGTATATCTGCGCGGTATTTTATGTAAACGTGTAAACCTATTTTTAATGTTGAACGATAACGGGAAAATTGAGTAATCACCAGTTGAGCTGCGCTTTTTCTCGAGATGGATGAGTTAAATGTTGGCGAGGCTTGCCATGGAGTCAGAGGCAAAGCGGATGGGCAAAGGTGTACCGAGATATTGTTCGCTAAGTAAATATTCATATATTCGCTACAGAAATAAGTTAAGAAACAGTACAGAGCAGGCAGGTACACATATAGAAACAGCATACAGTATGCGCTAGGACAAGAGCCCTCTGTAGCCCTCGAGCTCGCACTGACCTGGTCTCCCTCGCTGAGCCGCGGCCCGTTGCAGCAGATGGCAGAGCGCGGTGCCACCTTGGACACGGTGACGGGGATGTTGGAGCCGGCGCCGCCCTTGACGTTGAAGCCGTAACGGCCCTGGTCGCCGGGCTTCAGACGCACCACCACCGGGGGCACCTCCTGACAGCCCAGGGGTCCGTGGATCTGCAACAGAGAAACGGGGAAGGTCAGTCTAATGTCGGGTTCACTGAGAGTAAATGGCAAACGGAGCATTGGCTGGTGAGCTGTACTGCTCAGCAATGCGGAGTTATTTGTGGCCACTTCTAGCATTCAATGAAGAGAATTACTCAAACATCAATATTTAAAAGTAAAGGGATAAAAAAAAACACCAAGAGACCGATGCCAAAACCGCGCGAATTCGGCCCGGGTCAGGGATCGCCTTTTTTGCTTATCGATCGATCTGCAACCAGCATTGTTGACGTTCGTAAGCTGGCTACGAAACAATTTTATTTTTATGAATAGGTCAACTGAAACGCATGCTACTTGAAGTTCATGCTCAACATACGAAGGTCATACGTAACCTTACATTACTATATGACTCAACTCAAGCCTTTTAGTCATTTCTTTGGCCCCGGCTCTTAAAATAGCATCACAACGCCCAACTGCGCAATAACATTACATAAACGACCAATAATTACATGCAATCCCTGGACCGAAGCGTTGTCGTCCCGCGCCATAAAAGCCGCGGTCTGCGGTGGAAAACTTGGCGTTCATGACGACCGGGCTTACGCCCCCCTCCCCCTCCCAGTGGCGTTACACTGGGGGGGGGGGACCAGGAGCCGGTTTGGGGGGGGGGCACGGCAGTCCGCACAATCGTCATACAGTAGGTGCCGGTATCTACTGGCCGTGAGACGAAACCGCAGTAAACACCGCCACATCAGCGGTGTCACATCAGTAACGTCACCCTTCACGTCACACCAGTCACGTCACGTCAGACTGCGTCACGTCACGTCACACTGACGGCAGGTAGATTCTCATGAGCTTGTAGCGATGATCCAGGATTAGTGAGAAGGGTACTTCGCAGGAAAGGAGAACAAGTGTGGGCTTTATTCCGGTTGCCTCTTATAGTCAGCCTACAGATGAATGTTATGCAGAGTAGGCGCCAGCGAGGCGGCTGACCAGTCTTGAACTGATCCGATACGTCAGCAATATCCCCATATGGGAGAGGTGGACGGCCTAGGCACGACCTCAAGGAGATTCTGGATAGTGAGGCAGCCTTCAGAACAAGTCCCACTCATATCCGTTCAAAGATAGATGTTTTTGAGCGAGATTTCTTATAATTCTCGAAACCTTCCTCGGGCATCTTCCCACTAAAAAAAAGACAGAGTGAATTCCGGAAGCATCCTTTTCACTATTGAGCTGAATTTCCAACTAATGGGATCTCTGAGACTTTGAAAGTGCGTGGGCGACGCACGGCCGGGGCTTTACCAGCACCCTTCGGCCTCCAATCAGTGTTCCGCGGCGCCGGCGGCCGCTCGGGTCCGTCGATTTTCTGCGGGCGAACCGAGAGTGGGCGGGCAGCGGGCCGGCTGGTCCGACGCGTCGCAACTTCCGGTGCCGCCGCTCTGTCCCCGAGAGAGAGAGAGAGAGAGAGAGAGAGAGAGAGAGAGAGAGAGAGAGAGAGAGAGAGAGAGAGAGAGCGACGCGACGAAAACACGACGGAACTGGGGGCTCCCCAGAGATTCGCCCACACCCACACACGACCCCGTCAATGAGGAGAAAGGTGTAGCGAAGGCGCTCTGATTATACCGGTCAGTGAACGGTGACGCTCAACGTCGAGTGATAGTGTTAGTTAAGTGACTGAGGGAGGAGCAGAAAGGTGTTTGTGTTGTAGCCTCAGCCCGCTAGTGGGGAAGCTCGAAGGCCGGGATTATTGGTGTGGGCGTCAAAAGGCAGCGGCGACGGCGTCCGCGGTGACTTCGGGGGCGGCGCTATTTCAGCAACGGACTGCGCGTGGGCGCCGATGGGGCAGCGGCTTAAGCATCACAATTTATTCCACAGACTCAACAGTTTAGATAACGTCATTACGTATGCAGAGTTCAGAAAAGTGGAGGCCAGCGGAGACCCGGTCAGGATACGAGCGAACTGGGCTGTTGCTGTGACCATGACTCGACATTGTGGGAACTATCTCAGCCGTTGCCAACTCGGCAGAAAAGTGTAGCAGAAAATAAAACCGGTTGACATGCCCGTCTCTCGGAATATTCAGCCCGTGGTAAAAATACACTCGCAAGCTGACAACGGAAAAGTGCACTACATTACATAGACACTGCGGCTGGTCAAAGCCCAGGTCCGGTGCGTAGGAAGATGCAAACAGTCGTTGTTCGCGAGTGGGTCAGAACTTGACTCGGTGTCAACTTATCACCGGCCCACGGTCCAAGTTCCGTGTCCGCCTCTTCCAAACACCAACGCCGCCGACTGAGCTATAAATGCCCGAGCAGTGGGCCGCTATGGACCACCTGAATCGAAAGAGGTAAACATGTGGTTAAGATCGCCCGTACCGCTCACTTCCATAAATAAACGCCGAATGGCGTTGTTGGAAGTCGTTATTTACCGCGCAGGCATTGTGTGCTGTCCTGAGCACAGGCTAGAAACCGTTCAGGCATTCGCTAAGGCTACTTTATGCCATCAGCTACACGAAACAAAGCGATTTTTTCTCTTCTGTGCATCGACCACTTACAGCAACCGTTAGAACTTCCTGGCAGCTTTCGTGCTACTGCACGGAAGACCAGGAACTGTTGAACAAAGCAGTAGAAACAAATAGTCGTGTAATCTGTCCATTAGTGCTTCTCGTCACAAGCTGCGGTAAAGTGGCGACAGGCTCGCCAAGGCCAGCCGAACGGTTGCCAGTGCACGCAATACGAGCCGGTATGAAGTCACCTAACGGCAGCCGACCTGAGGTCAAGGCGTGAGAGCCCGGCTTGATCATTTCCGGGGCTGATTGCACCTGCCCAACCACATATGGTCGGCGCTGCTAGCAGATTACGTGTCGTAGTTCAGAACACGAGCGGCGAGGAATATGAGCGCATTCAGTAGCTTCGGAGATGTCGCAAACTTTTCCCATCACCCAGCCTACGGATCTCGACAGTTTTATATGTTGTGTGCCGCAGCGTCATCCATGACAAGTAGCCAATGATTCATCCACATCCCTGACATGATAAGGCATCAAATCCATGCCTGGCTCATGCACAATCAAACCTCTCAAGACGCGGATCATGTTCAGCTCACAACGTATATTCCCGAGCCGAATGTCAATGAGCTTCTGCCTCCAGACGAGTCACTGACAATCATACTGTCCAGTGTCCACTGAAACCACGTAGCCAGCAGCTAATACCGGCGTAATCAGTCGGCGTAAATCACTCGACCGGTCTCTGGTGTTCTCTGAAAATCTCATGGCGCATACCATTTGCGGAGACGCCATCATGCAAGCATGTCCGGAGGTGAGCGCTCACGGCGCGTCAGTCAGCTCGTCAGTGCTTCTTCCAATAAGGTCCGGCGGTGACGAGCCTTTCCTGTCAGTGTGTGGGAGGGTTTTTGCGCACTCTGTTATGGGCTTCCAGGAGTGAGTGTGACGTGCATCATTTCTGCGATTGGCCGCAGAAAGCCGTCGGCGGCAATGGGGAAACGTACCTGGACGAAATTGCAAGTAAATGTCACAGTGACAGATGGTCTAGCAAAATGACCATGGACATCGGGCAAATTGAGGAAATCAAAACAAATGGGTGGTGGCTTGTGTTGGCAACGTTATGCGACATTTGGCGTAACATTACGTCACTGAAAGGAGGCAAGAATCGAAGTTACCCATGGCAAGGAAGACGCTTCCGAATGACGACGATTCAAGTAAGTGATACGCAATAATGATTGCTTCCATTATGCTTGAGTTATGCAGACCAAAGAGTTCACTTCAGAATGATTGTGCAGTGTAAATACCGCAACCATCCGCACGCCAGAAATCTGGCGGCGGTTCCCTTCCAGCAGGTTGCGTGTCTGTCCGTTCTGCGGCTGCAGGAGAGCTTAAAGTAGCCCCGGGCTGAGTAATAAGGCGCGCTTGCCAGGGAGGGAGCGAGGGCGATGTGCAGCCTCCCTCGCACGGCGACCCGGTCAGGGTCGGTGCACCGACACGAGGGGCTGGCGGGCGGCCAGTAGACGGCTGACGAGCGGCGGCGACGGCGGGGCGGCGGCGGCGGACTTCAGAGAGTCGCTCCGGAGGTATGCCGGATCCCGTGTGTCAAACCGCTCCGAAAGCGGAAAGGGCGCGTCTGTCGCGAACTGAGAGTCTGGCAGCGCTGACACACCACGTCCGAAAGATGCCCAAACCGGCCCAAACCCACCCTGGCTCACCCCAACCCGGCCCGGTCCTGACCGGGCGACATCCGTGCTGCCCCTCCCTGGGCCAGCCCGACCCGACAACAAGCCTTCCAGGCCGGCCCATCCCACCCGAATTCGGCCGAGCCCAGCTCATGTTCACCCGGCGGAGTGCTTGTAGAGCCCAACCCTGCTGCGCCCGGCACAACCCAGCCCAGTGTCCCGCCCGCTCGGAGACGGGTCTGTGACGGCGCATGTGGTGATCTCACCACGTCCTGCCTCCGCCACAGGGTTCTGGCCGGCGACCAGCGCTCACCAGACCACCGACCGCACCAGAGCAGACCGCCGGGCCGCGCCGAGCGACCAAACACGGCCGAATTTCGGCGGCCAGCCAGCAGCGGACGGACGCGACCGGGCGCCGTCGGAACCGAGCGGTTTGTACAGCCTTGGCCGCCGGCCGTGCCCTCCTAGGATGGATGACGGCCGACCGGTCAGGGGATGAATGAGACGCGGCCGTGGCCGCGGGTCTGGCACACCCGGACGTGCTCGGATGTCTAATTCGGGTGTGGGTGTGGGGGACGAGCGGCGGATATTAAAGGGGAGGGGCACACGCGGTGGGCCCAGCTCGATATCGATCGGCGGAAACCGATATACGACGGAAGTGCGTTATGTAAGGCGAGGGTGTGGGACTATTTTTGACCGGTGTTCTATGTGTGATAACGGAGCAATTAACTTCAACCGTATTAAATATCAATATGGTGGTAACTAATTAGAATCTTAAGCCGACAATTGCCAATGGCTGATGACGAAATGGTTTGATATGATGATGTCATTTCACACAA